AACCAACTATGCTAACATTTCAATTTTGAATTTCTAGCCTCTACAACTGTGAGACAATAAACTTCTACTTTCTAAGCCACTCAGTTTGTGATAATTTGTTATGGCAGCCACAGAAAATAGACGCTAAGACTGCTTTACCATTATCAAAAGTAATTTATACCTTCTCATAATAGCAACCCCAATCTCTCATACCTTCCTATTTCTATTTTAATACTTCAGTGGGTTTTCTCAGAAACAAATGATTTGGTATCAGAAGTTCAGGCATGACTTTGCAGTTGCATAAGTGAAAATGAAATATGAACAGATTAAAAATGACCTGTTTCATTTATAAATGAGTTATGAAATGTTCCTTTATTGTTTAACCCCTTATCAGTTCCTCCCCATCTACGATTATTTAGCACATGGATGGGCTAAAGTAAGGATTACAAAAAAAAAAGATTGCCAAGAAAATCAGATCTTTCCTTCCTACCGTAACATGGGGCTCCTAGTGTCACTCACAGACTCACACAGATGGAGAGTTCACTGACTGTCGTGGGGAGAGTAACTACCGGGGAATGCAGAAGCAGGGTCTGGATCTTGTTAATGGGAGTATCAGTGGACTTAACTGTGCATTATGTTGCACTTTAGCTCTGGAAGTTCAGTACTTTAATGACTTCATCCATGAAAGACTCATCTTGTTTTGAGTTTAAAGAAGAAAAAGTTTGTAACACCTATATTTATGGAAGGAAAAGTATAGTTTCTTTAGTGTATGTTTCCTATCAACTCATAAATTCAGAGCACATGCAAGAAACACGATGACAGTCACCAAAAGTGGTTAAAACTACGAATGCACTGAAAATACCACATTTAGGATACAACTATATACTGAAAAGGCAGCAATGCCAAGAAAATTGGCAATTAAAAAGATCCTGTTAAAGACGATTCTCACAAGTTGTGTTTAAAATCATCCATTTTAACATTTCCAAAATAGTTGAATTTATTATTTCACATCAACATTATGGAAGTTAAAGAGAACAATCAAGTTGTTTCATGGACTGGAAGGTGACTTATTAATTCCCTTTCATTTCCAAACCTCATCAAGCAGTCACTACATTTATGAGGTAAATCAGCCGAATGCTTGAAATCTAGATGGATTTTAAGATCTTCAATCTGTCCTGTTGAATATTCACAGTATTGACATAAGTAAATCCCTTCAGATAAATGTGAATTTAAATGTTTGCAATATTCTAGCATACTTGAGAAGCCTTTCCCACAGTCATCACAAACATGAGGAAAAATTTTAGTATGTTCAATAGCAACATGTCTGTTAACATTTGTATGAAGTCTACTCCGAAACCCACATACTTGACAAACAAAGAAGTTTTTACATTTGTCAAATGTGATTTTGCTCAAGAGGCTATACTGTCCATGTTCTCCATTGTTATACTTATCACTTAACTCTATTAATTTACATGCATGCTCATTTACCACATGGCTATGCAAGTCTTCTGGATCATTCGTTTCATGTTCACAGAACTGACACAAGTACTGTTCATCACAGCTGTGTTCCTGGAAATGTAGGTAGAGCTCACTGCTTGAGGAGAACTGCACGTCACATTGCTCACACCAATAAAGGTGATCACTAAAATGCGTGTCTGCAATGTGCTGGCTGAGGTTCTCAAAAATTACTGTCTTATAATCACAGTATTTACATATGTAGGGATCTTCTTCATGAAGTTTGGCATGTTCGATCAAAAGCATGTTGGTAGAGAAACTCTCTTTGCATACTCGACACACATTTGAATCAGTACGCTTGTGCTTCAAGATCATATGCTGCTTTAAATCAGAAAAATATTTGCTGTTGAACTCACAAAGTTCACATTTATAGAGGCCACTGCTATTAGCTCTCAGTAAAGGCCATTTCTGCTGGACAGTCACATTCAAAGCTTGGCTCTTGTCAATAATTTTGCAAAGTTTGGCTGGTGGCTCTTCATCAGTTTGGTCTTGGAGACTCTCAGAAGAATTGTTTTCTGCCTCTATATCATAGTCTTCAGAAATTGCATGTACTTCTGCAGCAATTGGAACATCTTCAGCAGTGTGAACTTCTATGGGGCTCTCCTCTTGGGTTTGCTGGTGGACCGATTCAGGGGAGTCACAGTCTTCATCACAAATTTCAATATCAGCAGATTTTTCTGAAAAACAAAGCAAGACTATTATTATTATTACTAAATAAGACCTATTAAATAAGTAATTGGCAAAAAGAAACTTATTTTACTTATTATTTTTTTCACTGAACTATACAAAATGTGCAGATGCCATTACTTTGTCTTACCTGTAGGAAAGGCAGTGTGGTCTAGAATTCTAAGTACAGGACTGGGAACCAAGTAGTTTTGATTTCTATTTCTGGCTTTGATTCCATCAGTAAATTTTGGCAATTCATTTGTTGTCTCTGTATCAGAATCATCATCTGTAAAAAAG